AGATGCAAAAGCCAGTGAGTGACTTTCGTGTATCAAGACATGAGCCCCAATCCGCATCGGAATATGCCTCTAATTGAAAAGAATTCGTAGCAGGGAAGAATAGGCCCTTGGAGGGACACCCTTTGAGATATCTAAGGAGATGTAAAGCAGTGTCCCAATGGACTTGACAAGGAGCATGAACAAACTGGCTCAGCTGCTGGACTCCATAGGTGATGTCAGGTCTGGTAAGATTCAGATAAAGGAGCCTCCCAACCAGTCGTCTGTATCTTTCAGGATCAGGTAGCAAGGAACCCTCAAGAGCCAACAACTTTGTGCCTTTAGGTATAGGAACTGGAACTGATTTAGCCCCAAGTAGCCCAGCAACTTGAATAAGATCAAGGATATATTTCCTCTGATTGACATACATGCCATCCGCACTACGGGCAATTTCCAAACCCAAGAAATATTTAGCAAAACCCAAGTCTTTAATAGTGAAGGCATTGTCTAGGTAAGTCTTAACTGCAATAATATCCTCTTCATGTGAACCGGTGATGAGAACATCATCCACATAAACCAAGAGGAAAAGAACTCCCTGAGAAGAATGCTTAGTGAAAAGACAGTGGTCATAAGCTGACTGATGAAAGCTAAAATCCTGAAGCTTAACACATAACTCATTATTCCATTGCCGGGAAGCCTGCTTTAACTCGTACAAACTATGTTTCAACCTACAAACCTGTCTTGGCAAGGATTTAGTATACCCTTCAGGTGGCTGCATATAGACATCTTCATCCAAGTAGCCATGTAGGAATGCATTATTAATATCCATTTGGTGAATAGGCCAACCCTTTCCAGCCACAACCGCCAAAAATAACCTAACAGTAACAAGCTTAGCCACCGGTGAGAAGCTGTCAAAATAGTCAATCCCCTACAACTGATGGTAACCCTTAGCAACAAGCCTGGATTTCAGCCTATCCACTGTACCATCAGCATGGAATTTAACTTTGTAAACCCAATGTGAACCTATAGCTTGTTTACCAGGTGGAAGCGTGGTTAACTCCCAAGTCTGGTTTTGTTCGAGAGCCTCAAGTTCTTGTTGCATAGCTTTAACCCAGTCAACATTTTTGCTGGCTTGACGATATGAGGCAGGGTCCTGTACAATTGATACATTTGCTAGAAAACCACTATAGGAGGGAGTAAGCTGAGGAGATAAAATGAAAGGAAAAGTGGATGGAGTATACCCAGACAGTGGTAGAGGGACCTCTGTGCAGCATGAAGCAGCATTAGCAATTGGCAATATGTGCGTAGTATTAACAGTTGTGATATAGTCTTGCAGCCAGGATGGTTTAGACTTGGGTCGAGTACTATGTCTAACAATGGGAATGGAGGATTCAGAACAAGCCCCATCTGCATATTGAGTTTCAATGCAAGGAACCTGTATGAGGGGTACAACTGGGGAAGAAACAGCAGGGGAAAGTGTAGGTGCAGAATTTGGGTTGTGAGTAGGTAGGACATGAGATGGAGTAGAATCACCTCCTTGCTTTGTAAAAGTGAAGTCCTGATCCATATCATAGGGGTGAAAAAGAGGTAAAGAAGGTATGGATTTAGGTGATTTATAATTTTGAATAGGAAATATAGATTCAAAAAAATCAATAACAAGGTATGGATTTAGGTGATTTATCATTTTGAAAAGGAAATATAGATTCAAAAAAATCAATATCCCTGGAAACATGAATCTGCTTAGCATCAATATCAAATACTTTGAATCCCTTTTGACCTGGATTATACCCAAGGAATATACACCTGTGAGACCTGGGTTCGAATTTGGTTTTGTGCGGTTTTGTGTTTGCTATATAACATAAGGAGCCAAAGGTTTTTATAAGAGAATAATCTGGTTTGGTTCCAAATAATTTCTCAAAAGGGGTTTTCCAGTTTAAAACTTGGGTAGGAAACCTGTTAATGATGAAGGTAGCCATTAACAGGGAAAAGGTCCAAAATTTTTTTGGCAAATGTGCTTGGAACATTAAAGATCTGGCTATTTGAAGTAAGTGCTTATGTTTACGTTCCACTGCCCCGTTTTGTTGAGGCGTGTAAACATAAGTTCGATGGTGAAGGATACTAAACATCTGAAGCACACTCTGGCATTCATAATTGAGAAACTCAGTACCATTATCTGTTTCTAATGCACTTAACCTTTGTACTGAATTGTGTTTCAACCATTCGAAAAAAATTATCCAATGTTTTTGCAACCTGTGTTTTGTGTACAAGTAAGAAGGTCCAGGTGGATCGACTATAGTCATCAACTATGGTCAACATGTAGGGAGTCCCAGTGAGTGAGAATTGTCTGTAGGGACCCCAAAGGTCAACATGGATGAGCTCGAAAATGGCAAGTGTTCGAATTGAACTGATGGGAAAAGGACTCCGCTGTTGTTTAGCCTTATGACAGACATCACAATGTTTGAGTAATTCTGATTTCTTTGGAGAATACGTAAGAAAATCTAAGTATTGCATTGTGTGAAATGAAACATGTCCTAGTTTGTTATGCCATTCAAGAAGTTTAGCAGTGGATAAGGAAACAGGAATGTCATTAAAATCAAGCATCTGATTACAAGAAGCAGTAAAAATCGAGGAATTGGAATGTGCTTTCAGTTTATCAATACTTCTATCTTCTTGGAAAATAAAGCTAAAATTATCTAACAAATACAATTTTCCGACAAGCTTGCCAACTGCCAATACTTTTTCATTCTGCAGGTCCTGCAATATACAGAAGTTAGGATAGAAAGTCAATTTAAGGTTGGCTGTTTGTGTAATTTTTGGCACTGACAGGAGGTTAAATTTGAAACTGGGAACATACAGGACATCAGTTAGGTGTAATTTTTGGTTCAATTTAACATTTCCAATATGATTAACAGATTTGTTAGTTCCATCAGGTAAACAGATAAGAGTGGTTTGTGTAACGGGAGTCAAATTTGTCATCAAATTCAAATTGGTGCAGATGTGATTGCTAGCTCCTGTATCAATTATCCAAGTTCCTGGTTTCACATGATCAAATGTAGCTAAAAAGGAGTGATATGAGCTCATACCTGCATACTCTCTGATGTGTGCAAAATTCACCTTGTTCTCAGCCTCCATCAACCTCTTTCCTCTCAAGACTTTAAGTACTTCCTGTGTTACCAGATTAGCCAAATCTGTAGACCCTGTCTGATCCATTTCCTTATTCTGATTTGTCTTATCATCTTCAAAGTCCAGAGGTGTATCAATCATATTTGCTGAGAATCTTTCATCTCCAAAGTTTCTAGGCCGCTGTTCTTTTGTTGTTTTGTACCATTTTGGATACCCTATTATCTTGAAACAGCCATCCCTATTATGACCTTTCATGTTACAATGGTCACAGTAATAAAGCTTTTTTCCATTTCCAAATCTCCTGTTATTACCTCTCCCTGAACTATATCTCAAAACATTTTTGTTAAAACCTCCTCTATTTCCATTGTCTCTCCTGTAGTCTGTGGATCTAGCAAACATAGCTGAATTATCATTTGAATCTGGAAAAATGTTGTGAACCTCTCTCTGTTTTTCGACTCTCAGTACCATAGAGTATGCTTTGTTGACTGTGGGAAGTGGATCCATCACCAGTATCTGATTCCTTATATGATCAAATGTATCATTTAAACCCATCAGATGTTGCATTAACTGGTTGAAAGTAGTCAAATCTAAGATTTCGTTAGATGTTGAACAAGTGCAAGCTGGAATTGGCATTAAACACACTAACTCATCCCAGAGTTTCTTCAATTTAGTGTAATATTTTTCAGCTGTTAAAATCACTTGCGAAATGCTACTCATTTCTCTTTGTATTCGATATAACATTGGTCAATTACACTCTCCATACCTTTCCTTCAACTCAAACCATAAATCCTTTGCTGATTTGGTGTAAATGAAAGCTTCAACAATATCCTTTGCAATTGAGTTCAATAACCACGATCTAACCATACAATCTACCCAGATCCATTGTTCGATTTTGGATAAATTTTCCGTAGGTTTATCACATCTTCCATCAATGAAGCCTAATTTCATTTTTAGCTCCTAATGCTATGATAATTGACCTACTCCAACTAAGGTAATTTCTTCATGTCAACACTGAAGTAACCAAAACCATACCTTGATGATCTGAGTTTTGATGATCTAATGGGTCTCTGTTTGAATATTCCTTTTCTGCTACTTCTTCTTCAGTCTCGAATCCGGATGTTCTGTGCCATATTTTCTTCAGATATTGGATAGGTTTCTTAATCGAAAATTCTATAATTTTCAGCCTGCTCTGATACCATGAACAAAAGCAACTGGGAATGTATTGAAGGAATAGAATTTTATTTATTTCGTCACTTCAAACGGAAATGGAATACACTTGCTATATATATAGAACAAGCTAAAAGTAACAACCAATAGGAAAATGACAACACACCAAGAAAGAACCGTACTCACTGAAAATGAAAATAAAAAACGTAATAGGTAGGAAACACGACTTTAGGGAAGTAGACGGTATTTCTGGTATTTCTGTGTAGCTTTGCAGATTCTCTTTCCTTCCTCTATTTCACTTAATCTTTCAGTATTGATTGCGTTCATGGATTTCTCTAAATCAATTATAAGTTAAATAACATAATTTCATCTTCGAAACCCATTGGAAGGAGACAACGTAGGAGGAATTATAGAAAAATGATTGAATTTGGTAGGATAAAAAGAGCACTATTCGGAATAGAGTTCATGAATCATTAAAAGAACTGAAAAGTATTATAACAAAACTTCAATGGTTGACAATTGCACGTACAACGATTTCCTATAGTACAGTTCTTACTGTCCAAACTCGAGTGGAAGAACAAAAAAGAACTACTACAACAACAAAAGGGGAGGAAATTGTCGATCAGTATCATCTAATACTGCATAGGAAAAAGAATGGCCCAGAGAAGAAAAGCAAATGCTGTCAGATGATATAAATAGTCGACCTAGAGAAGCCGAACTAGCCTTCCCGTCTATTAATTTTCCATGATTTTCTTAAATTGTACCTTCGGCGCTGCAATTGGAAGACGAATAATCAGGACAAGCAAATGAAATGATGCCTTTTCTATGGAAGCATAAGAAGCTAGTATAAATTTCTTGCCTGGCAAACCAGTAAACCTTTCGTATTGTTCATATGCCTGTCCAATGAACATATCTACTCCTGTGACAATTTGGGCTCCTGATTCTGCTGCTTCCCGCAGAAGTCTCGTGATTTTGGGAGTGTAAACAGCATCGAAAACGAGCATGTAATTAGCCAGAGCTTCCTGCAAAAGCAGAACATTTGGATAATTTCTAGCAACATAACATGATTCCGCTTGAAAAGTTGAAGTTCTCCTAAAAGTTCTTGAATTTCAAACCAAATCATAGAATTTATAGCATGATTTGGTAACTGGAATGGACAGCACTAGACAGTACTGAAAGAGAAGAAAGAGAAAAAAGAAAAAAATCTTATTCATTATAATGTCCAATCCAGACCTGTAGTGCTTACCGAACAGACCCTTTCAATAAAGGACTAAATTGTTGTAGCAGCAGGACAAATAGACGCTACTGAGAGCACTTAATGAATGAAGAACATAATTAGATTCCTAACCTTCGAAACAGGTGTATCATTGACCTTGGGATGCATCCCGATAGAAGTAGTATTTGCAAGTATCATTCCCTTTTCTGGACGAAAATTATCTAACTCAGCAAGAGACAAAGCCTGCCCTCCAACAACGTCAGCAAGTTCTCTAGCTCGATCTTGACAGAATATTAAACTTTGTCAGAAAATTGGCAACCAGTATCAGCTTTAATTGGAATATACGAAGGCTAAAGCCAGAAGTGAAAAAAGGTGGAAAGCAAGACGGAAATCTAACCATAGGTGCGATTAGCAATTGCAACCCTCGCACCCTTTTCTTTTGCACCATACGCAAGTGCCTTGCCTGCTCCACCAGCACCAATGACTACAAACAGTTTTCCGGCCAGGGGCGACCCTGTTCCCGTAGAGCCATTTTGCGAACCTGTAAAACCATATAGCTCCGACACTCAGCTTCTACTCACGTTAAGCAATTCTGTTAAGATAGTAAATCATAGAATAGACCTCGAAGACCATCCTCAATGGAAGAAATTGCACCAACATAGTCTGTATTGCAACCAAACAACTTCCCATCAGGACGCCTGACGACGCAATTAACTGCCCCTATTGACTGATAAAAAAAAAACACAAACGAATAGTACCTTAATGACATTGACAATCATGATTATTGTGTTGATATAGGAGCAAGACACTATCACCAATTACCTTTGCAACAGGATCAACTTCATCACAGCACGCAAGTGCCGCTTCCTTATGAGGAATTGTGACGCTGTAGGAATTAATCTTGACATTTAGTAAATGTAAATGAATTTTTCTCCTTATCAATGTGCCATAAAGCTATTCAGGAGAGGAGCATCTATACAATGTAATAAAAATGTTTCAAAATAGAACTTAAAAAGAAACAAAAAATAAGTCCGGTAAATTGGTTTGACGAGACTGTATATAGAAAATGAAAAGGAAAATAGATAAACTCAAACAGCACGAAGTGAGGAGAAAAGTTGATAGAAGCAATTGCACACATTAACACCCACACGGGGAGAGAGAGAGAGAGAGAGAGAGAGAGAGAGAGCAATTAAAGCATGAAAGAATAAAGAATGAGTGATACGTTGATCACCGAAGGAATTAACCATATTAGGCTTTAAGAGTTGACCTGAAGCCAGCAAAATCCATTGAGGAATATGTTCAGAAAGTTTTTCACACGTTGTATAAGGCGAGGCTGCAGCTAGACTACCATAGGAAAGCCCACAACCAACAGAAAAACTCATAGGAGAATATTAAATCATTTTTCACCAATAAATCAGTTTGTACATAGAGAAAGGTAATGTAAACTTTTGCTACACACAGCTTGACATAGAAAACCAAAACCTAAATACATTAACTAATAAGTAATGTCAGATACGACACTCTTCAGCACAGAGGTAAATTCAACTTGCAATACTAATTCCTTATTTGATTAGAATACTGATATCAGTTGTTAACTATACTTTCACTCCCTAACCTTTTATAGAAACTACTTAATTCACAGGTTAACCCACACATAAAAACCAGAAAAACCATGCTTTGACTGACAAACACAAGCTTTCTTTAAAAGCATTTCAGTATCTTCAAAGAGACAATGCAGCATGAAATTGGGTCCTCAAGATCGAATTTTTTATTTTCTTTTAACAACTTTTCTTATATCAATTTCTATGGTCCAATTTCATGCTGCCAAACATAGCACAAAACTTTTTTTCACTGTTTAGCTAAACCCAGTATATGAACTGCCCCGAATTCCTTCTTAAGAAATGGCAGACACAGAAAATATAAAAACTGATCAATCAGCAGATAAGAGTAAAATGCAAAATAGGGCTTTATTAATCCAGCAAAAGTGACAAGTAAATCACCATACACATGTTAATTAAAAATATGAAGTGAGTTGGAAATCAAAAAAGTAGTCTCACACAAGCTAGTTTTGATCATGAACAATTCCATGGAACCTCCAATCATGGCTGAGAGCAATTAAAGCATAGAGAAATTTCACACATAAGCGCACACGCACAGAGAGTGAACAATTAGAAAATTGAGAAAGAACGAACAAATGGAGCATTGCGTTAACCATATTGTGTTTTAAGAGTTGACCTGAAGCCAGCAAAATCCAAAGACGAATATGTCCTGAAAAATTTAGGAACGTCATCCACCAACAAATGTAGGTACACTCCATTAAAGCCAACTGATTTGAAAGCTTCATTGTATAATTTTGGAGATTTGCTGTGGCTTACAGGATTCCCGATAATCCCAAAAACTTTTGTATCAGGCTCTAACAGTCTAAAGTTGTATAAATTAACCAACTCCTCTATGGTCGGTTGCCCAGGAGCAGATACCTGTCCTGCCTCCAGCGTACCAAACGTGAGATATCCACCAAATTTTGGACATAGTATTCTTGACATCAATCCTCTCTCTCCCATTACCATTGCTATGATTGGTACCTGAATATTAAATAGATATTTATGCACGTATACTGAAAAGAAGTACATCTGGAAGCACATATAATATTCCTACACACGTTGACTTAATAAAAGGCATTAAAACTATAAAACCCTTTAGGATACACAGACTCGAAGAAATAGTACCTTAGTCTGTTATCAACCAGTTATTTAATGTTTTACCTTTTTTTTTTT